AAAGGAAAGGAAAAATTTTTTCTAGACCTGTTTGGGCTGTAAATCAGGAAAATTTGTTGTCAGTCTGAGACGTCCTATACTTCCTCACTTCAGGAAAGCTGGGAACCCAGTGGAATTTAGATGGACATGAAATGTTTCAATGTTTGTCTTCCACTTTATGCCAAAACTGAGAATTGCATAGACTTTAAGAAGAAAACAAAATAACTAGCCCAAACTGTGCTATGTTTCACAAGCTGCAGTTTCGTGGCAAAGATCCTGGTGATTTCTTATTTCCTCCAGACTAGTTCTCCCACTTGAGCTGCTAAGCGGGAAAGCAATGCCCTTTCCCCTCCTCATCATGCAACATGATACAAAAGCATAAGGTTACTCAACAGAATCGAATAGCCACTCACTTGAAATAAAGACAACACGGTGGTCTGAGTCAGAGTGTCAGAGAAGGCAGTGGCCTCTGTTCCATCTGGATGGAAACATCACTGAATGTAATCACTTGTGCAGTTGCTTACTGAGAACCCTTGGACCATCTGAAAAGTTGGGCATAGATAAATGAGAATGCCCTTCAGTACTCTCAGTTTTTTTGATTTTTTTTCTTGTATCCATCAGAAAAAGGAAAGTATGTGTCTGTTTCTACATTTCTTCACCATGAAATCCATTGTTTCATTTGGATTAATATTGTCCTATATCTTCCCCCTCAATGCCCTGCGGGGAAGATAAAAGAATGTTTCTATCATGTTATAGTGAGAACAGCTTACTCCTACACTGGCTTTGCCACACAGATGGTCTAGAAAGACATGAAAAAAAAAAAAGCAAAGCTCATAGAATATTTCTTACAGGGTATGTGAGTTAGATATGGGCAGATTATGGGCTTAGTACAGCCTCAGTAAAAACTGGCTAGTCATAGCTTTCTAGCTCCTTGATTTGGATAACAACAGATTTTTTGGGGAAAAGGCCTACCCCTTATCCAACTGGCTCTGGTGTGAAGATGCTTTTGCTGAGAGAAAATAGCTATAGGGGAAGATTTTTGTATTTTCTCTTGTGAAATAACAGTTTACTAAAAATAGTACCTATAAATAAATAGATTGCAGTTTGCAGGCCCAAAGCAACCAATTTAGATCATTCACTCCTCTTTCCTCCTTTTTCATGCATTCCCTACATTTTCTCCCAAAATAAAACAGAATACAGAAGTCCCATGCCAAAGTGTTGTAACAGACTCTTGTAAAACTGTGTGTTACAGCAGAGGATAAGGTTTTTTCCGAGTTCATAATCTGACATAAATTTTACCTCTGATTATGATAGTTCAGAAGAAAAGTTGGGTTTGGGTGTTTTTTATTTGTTTTTGTTTGCTCTGTTTTTGATTACTCTCTTCTCTAAAATTAAACTCAAATTGCATTTTTAGTATATACACTGTACCTGTAACACATTGATAAAAAAGAGAAAACTGAGTTATCCATCTGTGTTTGTAATCACAGAAATACTTATCCTCTAGCCCTAAGAGAAAGACCAACACAGTATGATGTAATGTAATTCCAAAGTTGCATCAATGCTTTTTCACCCTCATTGATATTATGGCAATCGAAGGAGATATTTGTTAAAAATAGCTTGGGTGCAAATCCAATAATATCTCACTGCCAACGAAACCTCATCTCATGAAAGGGGGGGTAAAAGCTTTTCAGCAAATTTAATGTGAAGCAGATCTATGCATTTACATTTTAATTGAAACATGTTAAAAGTGAAAACAAAACCAAAAACCCCAAACCCATAAAAGTGTTGTTTTTTCCAGGTAACAGTGATTTTCAAAATCTTCTCAACCTGTTTCTAACATTAGAGAGGATATGGTTTCAATAAATAAGAGGTGGCTACGTACATGTATTATACCAGTGTCGTGACATACTATTGTTTTGCTAAGAGGTTACAAAATCAATGTTCTATAAAAACATTCTCATATTTTTAAGAAAAATCCATCTGATGCTTTGACTTCCTGAGCTCCCTTTTATCCACAAGATGCAGGAACCTCCCTGAGGTAGAACATCTGCTTGGGTTGCAGTCCAAAAACCTCACAGACCAGTCTCAGTGTCAGTAAAGCAGAGAAGCTCCTTTGTTTTTTTTTTTTTTCCTTAGCTTCCAAGATATTTTGACTGCCTGAAAATGATGAAGCAGGACAATGGGCAGGCTGACCTGACTCAGTTCCAGGAAAACAGGGGAAGGGTTAACTAAAGCTTTATCAAGAAAGAATTGGACATGTTACATGCAACGAATGCCAACCCATGTGGCTGGATACAAAGCAGATCTTTTAAAACAATTCTCTTTCCACTGGGTGAAAGGTCTGGTTGAGAGTAGCATTCATGTTAATGCAATTTACCTTGGTCTTGCCAAAGCATTTCATTTCATGGCATATATTGGTATTATTAAAAAGCATGCATTATATCGAATTAAAAGGCTGCACTTTGGAAGAACTAAAAGCTGGCTGACTGACAGATCGCAAAGTGGTGAGAGAAATGAGTGGAACTATTTCCAGCAGATTCCCACAAGGATCAGTTCCTGGTACAACATCGTTTAGTATTTTCATCATGTGTCCAAACAATGATGTAAAATCAGTCCCAAGATGGCTGGGGGTTGGAGTGCTTACCCTGTAAGAAACAGGTGGGTGAATTGGACTTGTTCAGCCTGGAGAATACAAGGTTTCGGGGAAATGATGGGCAGCCTATGAAGAATTCACAAATAAAGCAGACCAGGCTCTTTACAGAGGTTTATGGGAAGAGAATGAGAGACCATGATCATAAAATGTAACAGGGAAAGTTTCGACTGTATATAAGGAAAAAAATCACTATGAGGATACTCAAGCATTGGGTCAGGATGGCCAGGGAGGTTATGAAATCTGTATCCTTGGAGGTTTTCAAGATCTGACTGGATGAAACCTTGAGCGACATTACTTGAGTTCAGTTTTGACATTGTTTTGAGCAGAAACTTGGACTAGATGACATGAGCTCCTAAGGTCCTCCTTGTTATCACGTTATGACTGTAATCTAGTTGATTCTGCCTGGAGAGCGATTTGGGAATCCTGCTAGATAACTACTTCAACATGTGCTGTAATGTAATGCTACAGAGAAAAGCAATGGTTGGATGTTATTTGGCCACTACTGATAAGCAGCCCTGCACAAAATTTGCCATGTTTACAGAGTGAAATTCCCAAAATTGAAGCAGCCAGTTGCAAATGACTATTGCTCCCTCATGAATAGCACATGAAGTCTGGCACTGCTGCCTGACAGAGCCCTCCCATGTCTCCTGAGCTGCTACTTTTGTTATGTAAGTGGAGAGAAGGACAGCTAGGACCTGGTTTGGGTTTTGTTGTTTGTTTTTTTTTCTGCATAAACAAGGAACAGTCCTGTGCATGCTATGCAGTATTTCAGAGGGATACTTGTATCACTAAACTATAGTATCCCCTTACATTTACAAAGCAAAAAAAGGCACAGTACTAATGGAATGAGAGGGAGCACTTAGGAGCTTACAGGCAAAGGTATAGCAAGGTTCAATAACCGGAGGCTTTAAATTAGACAATGTGAAATTCACAGTAAAAATAAAATAAAATAAATTTTAAAAATATTAAAAAATAAAATAACATAAAATAAAATAAAATAAAACAAAACAAAATAAATAAAATAAAATAAATAAAAATAAAATAAAATAAAATAAAATAAAATAAAATAAAATAAAATAAAATAAAATAAAATAAAATAAAATAAAATAAAATAAAATAAAATAAAATAAAATAAAATAAAATAAAATAAAATAAAATAAAATAAATGTCATGGCTTCTCTGGAGTGAAGCTGAATTCTCACTTGCTGACAGTCAAAAACACTGGCCATGTTTTACTGTAGAGCAGGTGGCCAGCATAGATACCTGTTGGATCACGACTCAAATGATCAGGATTTGCAGGCATGCTCTCACTGTAAGGATAATAACTTCTTCTGCAGTTCTCTACTTTAAGCACTTTTCCTTTCCTGACTGACTTGGAGTTGTTTTGGAGTATTTATTAATGGCAGAAACCTTTTAGGCAACTCGACATTGATACAGAAAAGCCTTTTTGCAGCAGCTGAGGGAATATTTAACTTCCTTGATCACACAAAAATGTAGGCAGAGGTTACGTGAACAGTGCATCAGCACCAGCGTACTGGATCAGCAGGACCTTGACCTGTATTGCGGACTAGAAAGGCCAAGTAGCTGGTAGATAAACCCATGTGACCACAAATAATAAACCTCCTGGTGTGGTTTGATGCACTTGCTTGTTAACTGAGACTCATTAAGGTGAATTAGACAGATTCATGCATCATACAAGTGCCATCATGATAAAGCTCATGGCCTCAGATAAATTCAAATCCCTTGTTTTTAAACAAAAATCACAGGTGGGTTTTTTGTTTTTTCCCATTACGTGAAATCCCCAATGCTAATGTAATTTGAGGAAGTTTTTTTTAAGCCCTACAGTAAGTGATGCAACTATTGACTCATTGCTGGTTTGAGCTCTGACACCAGGGGACCAGCTGGCCAGACCAGTAACCTGCCAGACTATGATTTTTTTGTTTATTTGATAACTGATCTAAATAAATGCAATTATAGCCTCATCCTTTAAATTAATAATTTCTCATATTCTAATTTTGTACTTAAAACTAACTTTATGTTCCTAGGTGAAACAGTTTTGTTTCCTTTTTTTCCCAAAGAGACAATGTGTTTCTCTGTAGCAGTTTTATACACAAAAATATGCATTGATAAGAAGTCTCCAAGTTGTTTTAAACAGATGATGTATCAATTCCCTGATCACTTTAGAAAAAGCAGGCAGACATGTATATCGCTATGCTGAAAAAGTTAGAGCGTGAGTGGTATAAGTTGCATATTATAGTTAACTCATAACCAAACTGTTGACAGTAAATATCAGAGTGTATGTTAGACAAAAAGAAGTGTTTCTTGTCTTTCATGGAAAACAAACAGCTAAAAAAGAGGAGGAAACAAATACAGTTCTTGCAATATCATATTATTTACTGATCTTTTGTATGTGGATACATGTAAGGAATGCTGGATGCTCACACATACCGAGAAATAACAAGCCATTATGCACCAACACATCACTAATCCAGGAGGAGTAAGCTATGGGTTACTGCTTCTTACCTGTACCTTGGGTAGGAATTTATCCTTGCTGCACACACATGGAACATAGTTTGGTGGACTAATACCCTCTTTGGTGCATAACCACTCCCCAGTAACTGATCTTTTCATACCTTTACTTATTTAGCAGCAGGAGATGGATAGAGACAGCCAGGCACAATGGCACTCCAAAGGGCAACATCTTCAGACGCAAGGACAGAGCCAAGGACAGAGTGCTGGAAAATGTTAAGTTAGCAGAGTACAGCAGTGACGGCATTGAAAACATGATGGTAATACACATGACAGGAGGCGGCAATATCATCCATATCACACATAATGCTTTCACTCTACCATTAACCTCTTTTAAAATTAATTGCAAAAAATTTTTTACGCTATTCAGAAAACTTCTCTTTTGATAACAGGGAACAGGGTGTGCCATATAGTTTTCTCTCTGTCATGATGACTCTACTGCCCTTTTGTGGTTTTCTCTGTTAGGTTTTTTTCTGTGACAATATCCGATTGCCTGACACCTAGCAGATCATTGCTCTTCCCTTATCCTTTATTGGAGTGGCAAGAGTTTTTCAGATTCCCGTTACACATCTGCCACTGACCATCTGCTATTACCACCTTAATGAGAAATCACTTGTTGAAAGGTGATTAAGTGGTTACAGTCCAGCACAAGGTTGCAAGCTCCTTATACTACTTCCCCCTCCAGTATTAAGTAATAAACATCCGGCTGAGACTCTTAGATCATATGAATCAGTGCATTTCTACTATTTCAATATGGTTACCTTGGTTTACATGACATTTAGCTTAATAGCATTTACCATTAGGTTAATTTAGATTCCAGCCTTTGGCTGCCACCCTTTTCACACAGAAACTCAGGATAATCAAGGGAGATTTTTCTATCCTCTTTATTATTCTTTTAGTCATCAGGGATGGGATGTTTTAAAGATAGTTACTGAATTATCTCTAAATAAGCTGGGTTTTTTTGGCAATACTCATGATGTGAGAGGCAGTTTTGTGTTTCCCCTCAGAACACTGAGGTTTCCTGTAAAGCTACCCTGGCTCTGGATTTATGTACCATTTGCAGAGGAAGATCTATCCACTTAAACTTTCCAGCAGAAGTTTTGCTGAGTCGGTTTTACATATCAGGCTGTTTAAAATAAAGGAAAAAAAAAAATAAAGGCTGGTTTGTTTTTTTTTTAATAAAAATGAGAGAGAGAAAAAAAAAAAAAAAACAAGGAAAAGTAAGCTTCAAATACAGTGGGGCCAGAGATAGTTCACAGCTTGTCATACGGTTTTTGTTCTTAAAGCAAACACATTTCTCTTCCCGAATCACGTCTCTGCTGTGATCTGTTTCCACTAAACCAGAAGCAGTCTTTGCAGCTGTCCTGTTAGGGCTGTGGATTTCAAGACAACCTCTCAAATAAGTGTCACTGAACAAAACAGACTGAGATAAGCTGTAACAGCACATTTGTAAACAAGAATATATGTATGTGTATATATATATATATAAATATATTAACAACAAAAGGAGAGCTGAGGAGAATCTCTATCCTTTATTGGATGAGGGAGGGAACAGTGACAAAGGCTGAGGAAAACGCTGAGGTACGTAATACCTTCTTTACCTGAGTCTTTACCAGTAAGACCAGTTGTTCTTGGGGTATCCAGCCCCTTGAGCTTTAAGACAGAGAGAAGAATGAAATCCCCATAATCCAAGGGGAAATGGTTAGCAACCTGCTACACCACTTAGACACACACAAGTCTATGGAGCCAGATGTGATCCACCCAAGGGTATTGAGGGATCTGGTGGAAGTGCTCACAAAACCACTTTCAATCAGCAGTCCTAGCTAAGTGGGGAGGTCCAGGTTGGCTGGAGGTTAGCAAATGTGATGTCCATCTACAAGAATGTCTGGAAGGAGGGTCGGAGGAACTACAGGCCTGTCAGTCTGACCTCAGTGCCAGGGAAGGTTGTAGAGAACATGATCTTGAGTATCATCATGTGGCACATATAGGACAACCAGACAATCAGGCCCAGTCAGTATGGGTTTATTCTTGCAGGATTTTTGCAGCAGGTCCTGCTTGAACAACCTGATCTCCTTCTACAAGGGGACCTGCTTAGTGGATAAGGGAAAGGCTGTGGATTGTCTACCTAGACTTTAGTATAGCCTTTGACACTGTTTCCCACAGCATTCTCCTGGAGAAACTGGCTACTCCTGGCTTGGACAGGTGTACTCTTCACTGGGTAAAAAACTGGCTGGTGACTGGTCACAAGTGGTGTTCCCCAGGCCTCAGTTCTGTTTAATGTCTTCATAAATGATCTGGACAAGGGGATTGAGTTCACCCTCAGTAAGTTTGCAGATGACACAAAGTTGGGCAGGAGTGTTGATCTGCTTGAGGGTAGGAAGGGCCTCAGGTTCTGCCAGGGGAGGTTTAGTTGTAATATTATGAAAAAATTCTTCACCAAAAGGGTCGTCAAGCATTGGAACAGGGTGCCCAAGGAAGTGGTTGAGCTACCATCCCTGGAGATATTTAAAAGACATGTAGATGTGATGCTTAGGGACATGGTTTAGTGGTGGACTTGGCATTGCTAGGTTAATTCTTGGACTCAATGATCTTAAAGGTCTTTTCCAACCTAAATGATTCTATGATTCTAAAAAAAGCCAAACTGATCAGCCTCATATCATAGAGACATATAGCAGGAGTACAAAACTGCTGTGAAAAAGAGCCCAGCAGTGTGATTTGGGACATACCACTTATGGGGAATGATAGCCTGGCTGTACTTAGGTTTGGAAAAAAATGTTCTGAAAGGTTCTCTTGCTGCTACATACTCTATTTTAGTTCTGGGCCTCATCTTCTAATGTAATATATATTCTGAGCAGTAAAGGAACCACCTGATGTCCAGCTTCATTTCAGGGAAAGGGAGGGCATAGGTATGATGGGCACTAGAAGACAAGTTTGGATGTACTCAGATTACTGGGAGATAGTTCAGAGGAGAGAGACACCTTGAAAGGTCAATGTCAGGAACACATCATGCTAATGATGTTAATGATATAAACAACACCCAAGATAGTTAGGTCTTGATTTGGTGAAGCACTTATATACATGTCATACTTGAAGCACCTGAGCAGTTGTATTCATTTCAGCCAGGTGACCTGGATACCTACAGCCACGCTTATACCTCACCAGACAGGAGCTCCAAGCATTACAGAACTGAATTTTATTGGCATTTATCCACACTCTATAAATGCAAAGATTAGTGCATCTTCCTTTTATAAAATTGCCTTCTGCTGGTGTTCACTCTCCTGCTTCCAGGCTAGTATAATTCACAGCACGAGAAAAGCTTTTCCAAAGGACTCAATAACTCCTTTTCCCCAAAACACACACATCATCTGTATGTATTTGTCTGTATCCCATCTTATCTCCAAAAATGAACAGATAACTTCTGTGCGCCTAATCTCTCATATCCAAAAGGAAAATATTTCCTGAGAAAACAGTATTAGTTTTACTTTTTTTTGGCATAATGGGACATAATTTATTATTCTGCTTATGATCACAGAAAAAGACCCAGAAAAATGCAAAGCTTGCTGTTTTGAGATCTTACACTGATTGTAACTTATCATGTCATAGGCCCTTTTAGCACCAGAGACATCATTGTGGTTTAGTAATCCCTTCAGAGAATTTGTTCCAACAAATATAGAAGACTGCCATCATGATGAGAAAAATCCTTTCCCCTAAAACTGTTTATCATCCAAGAATAAATAGCAATGAAAAGAATGGCTTTCTGAAACTTAAGGGGTCATAATCCATTCATCGGGAAGATATTACTACAAGTATTGTACATAAGTCACCTACCCTTTCCATGTCTTAGTCATCTAAATATCAGTTTAAAAAAAATGAAAAAAAAAAAAAAAAAAGAAAAGAAGATGAAGTTATAATGCTATATCAACAGACAGCTGTCCTAGTGGGCACTGGGAACACAGAATGGCTCGCATTGCTGCGCCATGCAGTCATTACCAAAGGAATGATGAGCTCACATTTCATTCCGATTCACATACTCGGTGTGGTTAGACTGTGAGGCTCACCCCTCCTCGCCCAACTGACGCCCCCCCTCCCTGACTCGACACCAGATCTGGCTTGTTAACATGTCTGGAATGAGCTCGAGCCTACCTCTCAGCTGGCAAGCCCAAGGGGCATACTTGGATTCCCAGGTTGGAAGATTATCTCATTCAAGCACAGTTCTCCCAAAGATATATAAGCAAAGCTAGTGTGGCGGCCCCTGTAGAGCTGGCCTGAGCACTTGGGAGTTTCAGTCATACAGGAGTACAACCTTCAAACACCAGCAAATATGATGACGATGAAAGTAGAAGAGCTGGTAGGTACAACTTTCTTCCATTTATTCATAATTATTTTTCTTTTTAGACTGTTGTCATACCAGTCAGAGACAACCTTTATGAATCATTGAGGTGATTTAGGAGGTTATCAGCACTGCTGTGCTCTAGGTGCAAACCCTGTATATACTGTATGTTATCCTATTATATTCTCTACTTTAACTTTTCCTTGGGAAGGAGGCTCACCACGGGTACAGTGACATAGCTGTTTGGATTTTACATCAGAACATAGATTACCAGGAAGAAGACACCGACCAAAATTTAGCTATGCATTTTCCTCTGACCTTGATTTTAATTTTTGTTTTTCTAGAAGCTATGAAGTTTATGATCACACTGAGTAATTCTAAGCTAGTGAGGGACTGGAAGGTATCAATGCAGGAAAACTGAAGTATTTTCTAATACTAAGCAAAGTTTAATAATAGCGTTATTTTCTAATAATAAACTGACAGTTCTTACACCCACTGCTGTTCATCATGTAACAAGCCTTAGAAAAATAATGTCTAAACTAGACCACAAGTAACAGGACATTCCACTGCAGGGTTCAGATTAAGAATGCCTGATTTGATCAATAAACTGGGAAAACAGGAATGATTCAGTAAAACACTGGAACTTCATGCAGAAACTGCTTTTTTTCCCAAATGACTATCTTAAGATGCAACTGCCATACAGTTTAGCTGGTTAATGTTGTCTTAAATTCTTTGGCAAGTCCCTGATAGTTTCTCTAGTGTTAAACTCTATAACAAACAGAATTTTACAAGGTAATTGAATGGAAAGGTAGTCTAGGCCACATGAATTTACCAAACCACTCTCAAAATATACAACAGCCTCTGCTAAGTTTAACAAGTTATCTTTTCGTACATACTTAACTGAGCATCAGAAATATTTCAAAAAGCTATTGAAAACCGTGCTGTTCCACAGCATCAGATAGCTTCTGCACAGGAACTACCTTCTGCTATTTTGCTAGGTGCTATAAATGGGGACTTTGGTACTGACAGGGTAAAATTAGACTTGAAATTACTCAGCAACCCAACTTAACTGCATTGGACGTGTTTCAATAAAACCGTAAGGTCCCAAGAGAGAAAGCCTCTCCTCCCACTCTACATGCTCGGTTCCCCTGCTGAACACTCGCAGGGTGCTGGTGGCTAGTCAGGGTGGCTCTTCCCACCACAGCCTTTTACAGCCTTCTGACAAGCCTGACATATGCTGGCAAGTGAAAAAACAATAAAACCATGAAAAAAAACAACGCTCTTCCCAACTCCCTGTCTTTTGTCAGTACAGCAGCACCTTAGCCCCAGCCAGGCAGAGAGTTAGACTGTGAGTTGGCTTCATGGATCTTGATCCAAGCCCTGAAGATGCCAAGGGGGGTTTGCTGCGTGGATGTGAGCAAGATTGCTCAAGCCATTCACATGCACAGTTAATCCAGGCACAGGCTGAATGAAGTCTGCACTCTGTCTGTCACACACTCCTAGAGCAGGACAGGAATGACATGCAGTTAGCCCCTAGGTAATCCATGTCCCCAGGGTGTGGGTACTGCAGTCATGAAACTGCCTCTTATATTGTATCACACTTGCTTTTACAGGTGACTGGGAAGAAAGCAGACGGTAAAGAGACTGGCAGCTTCCTCCCTGAGGACTTCAAAAATGGAGAGTATGAAGCTGCTGTAAGATTAGAGAAGCATGAGGACCTAAAGACAGTCTCTGAACACTCACTGACCCGAGGTGATCTGGCTTATGAGAAGGAGAAAAAACTAGAAGCAGAGGTAGGCTCTTGGGTTTTGTGCTTGGCTTCTTATCATCCTGCATGTACTTTTTGCTGCAGCCCCTGAAGTTTTGCCTCTTCCTAAAATAGAAATACATGCATGGTGAGCTACATAAACCTTTGGGAGATCACCACCAGAAGAGGTTGGTCTAAAGTCCATTGAAGGCCATGGTGGTCTGCTGACTCCTGTAGCCCATGGATGCAGGCAGTAACACTGTGAAGCAGAACCCCAAACTCCCCCTATAATGTCTGACTGACACCTTGGGGGTCCTTCCTGCCAGCTGTCCGTGAGGGGGGAGCCATCATAACCAGTAAGACACCTTCAGCTTGCACAACTAATGACTGCCACTAAAAATAACTAACCCAATAAAGATGTAGGAGTGCATTTCTGAAGCCAGAAGCCTTATCCACCATGAAAATGTTCTTTTTAATGAAAACACTGTATTATGCTTACTAGCACATTTGGGAAAAACAGTTACAAATGAAAGTGATACTGGACTACAGGAAAGTACCATTTTGTATTCCTGGTCATGACAAATCTCCCTATATCCCTAAGAACTGATGCTTTCTTTCCCCAAAAATATAGCAGCTGTAACTTCTTAAATCCTTTGGTGAATAAGCAACCAACTGGCCTAAAAATATAAAGTGATTTGGGAATGAAAAAGTTTAACTAGCAAAGGGGCATAGAACTTTGTTCTGAAAAAAGAAAGGTGGGAAAATGAACCTCGGAAATAAATACTACTGACTTTCACCTTCAACAGAGATCATCAGTTGCTACAGAGGTTTTTTGAGTTCCTTCAAAACAGTGTTCTAAGAACATTTTGGGTTTCCAATTGATTCACAGTCCACTCAGCCAACGTAATTATTTTCCATTAAGTCAATAATCTACTGATCGAACCCTCAATGCAGAGAACAATAAAAAGAATGGGTGAAAATAACCTGAATAAGAATTCAGCTGAACATGACAGGGTCTCACCAATGTATTTATCCTTCACGATACCATGGGACAGAATCTGTCATCTGTATTCACCCTGAGTTATCCTTTGTCTGTGAATACCTCTTCTGAAGTCAAGGACACCTCATGGTACCTGGGATCTCAGTTCAGGCAATGCATTTGCCCTTGATGTCAGCAGTGCTCCATACTGACTTCACGCAGGGATGCCTTTTACAAGAAGGCTTGAAAAAGCCTTAAACGTTTCTTGAATGGCCCCTCCAAGGATATTGAAGACATTTTTTGTAGTTTTCCAAAATGTAACACTTGCTGACTGAAATGCTAAGATCAGTACAAACCTTGCTCTTCACTTAAGGGTAGATTTTTCATCAAAGAGGATTAATTTACAATAAATCAGGGGCTGCATCGTAAAAGTGGTTGAAGAAAAAATGCTTGGTGGAAGTCAGATAAAAGTGCAGGGGCTTCCCAGGTCTCATAACCTGCACATGAGATTTCTTAAATTATTGGGCCAGAAGGGACTGCAGTACTGCTCTGACTCCTGGCCTAACACAGGACAAAAATTCATGCTATCTAGCCCACAAAATATAGCTGAAGCAGCATTTAGGAAGAAGCCCAGTGCTGTATGAAAAAATATATAAAGATGTTGTAGAATTTCTCACACACTTAGTAACTTTTTCTAATGGTCAATTAGCTGTAAAAAAAAAAAAAAAAAAAAAAAAGCGGATCTGGTCTTAACTGAATTAATCTGAATAGTATCACATGCTATCCTGCTACTCTGAAAAGGAGAGGTGGTCACACTCAGCTCACTTGCTGGCTTCCCTGATTTGTTTCAGCTGAAGAAGAAGAAATTAGAGGAGAGGTCAAAACTTGAAAACTTGGAGGATCTTGAAAAAATTATTCAGCTGAAGAAGAAGAAAAAATGCAAGAAAGTGAAAGCACCTGTTTTAAAGGAACCTGAACCAGAAGTTATTGTAAGTTATTTCAAAATACCTTCTGGGAAAGCATTGATGGAGTTTTGCACCACACACATTTATACCCTGTATATTTCTTTCCATCAGACAGGACCAGTGGACATACCTACGTTCTTTAGAGCTGCACTGGAGAATAAGCTGCCAGTAATTGAAAAATACCTGTCAGACAAAGGGGATCCAAATGTCTGTGATGAGGTACAATCTTCCTTCTTACTGAACAACCTGCTACAGAAAATAGGTTATTACAGAGCAAAAATAACTTTTGCCACTAGGTTTTGTAGCTTCCACACTTATGAGGAGAAAAAAGGAGGGGGGTGGGGGGGAAGTAAATAAATGCTGGAAGTTTTCTATATCAGGTTTTCCAGTGATAAGGGGGCCACTGGGACCCTTCAAAGTAGTATTACCTCAGAAGAATCTTTATTTTTAAAAGAAAGTGGTTGGTGCCCAGGAGATCCTAATTTTCTGTAACGGGTGATCTTCCAATGCTGCAGATGAAGAGACAAGAAATTTGTCTGCAGAAAGACAAAAAAAGTAATGCTGCCTGCCCTCATATTCCATAATGCATAAGCTGCATTTGCAAAATGCAGCGTAGCATGTTGGATGGGGGAACTCAACAGGCATCATTTTAAATCTGAATGCCATACTGCAGATATTTCTCACACCTCTTAAAATGCTCAGTAGGCAGCTCTCAGCTATCAGGATGCTATTAAAATTTAGAAGATTTCATGTCTCAAAAGTATTAGCTCTTGAAAATGAATCGGCATAAAGTATGTATTTGCCATCATCCTAGGGAGAAAGGGAGAAAAGATTTAAAGATATCTCTTTGTGCCATATTTAATATCTGACTTTGCACTGTTTTAATTGCCAGTATAAACGCACTGCATTGCACAGAGCATGCTCTGAAGGACATCTAGAGGTGGTGAAAAAGTTGGTGGAAGCTGGAGCTCAGCTTGAACAGAAAGACATGGTATGCACATCAACTCACACTTCTTTCAAAAAAACTGATCATTGTTTTATAAGTGCCAAGAGAAGCGCTTATAAAAGTGCTTATTATAGGAGTATTAAAAGGCCTTACAATGTCTTGTAAGTTTATCCTTAAAATAACACTGTTAAGAAGAGGTTTCAGGAGGGGGTGTCTGCCTCCTTTTGCCAGAATGGTTGCTGGAAAACACAGGAAGCAAAGGAACACGTTGGCCAGTAGACTGCCGCAAACAACAAAGCCTAGTGCAGGGTAAGAGAGCTGAGGTCAGGCCACCGCTGCGGCCCGCTAGCAGGTGGTGGAGATACCATTGTCCCACGCATGTATCCCGGGCTCGGCACAACACGTACATTCTCCACCGGGATTTCAAGGCTGTGCTGGGAGAGACCCCCGATCCTGAGGAACGCCAGCCATGAGGGCAGCTGAGTATCAACAGCTTCTGCAGCTGTTTTTATGCTTCTCCGCTCCTAGCTCTTTGTCCCTTTGCTAAACAGTTGGAACTGGCCAGCCTTGCTCCCTCTTGATTAATCCACCAGTGCTCATGGAGAGCATAAGAAACAGGAGGAATGACAGGCAGAGCAAGACCTTCAAGGGACGTTCCACTCCTCCCAGCAGAGCTGAGGACAGAGAAACTGAATCATGCAGAGGAAAAGGGCTCTAATTCAATTTGTGGACCTGCATAAATTTTATTTGCTTTTTTTTTTTTTTTAAAAAAAAAAACTATTATTTCCCTTGAGCTTCATTCTCTATGCATTTTAGAACCCAAAAGGCATCGAATAAAACATATTAACTAGCACATACCAGCCACATACCTGGCTAAAGATAACTTCTAAGTTCACAGACTAGACAAAACACACCCTCTCTCACAGCAGCGTTGCCCAGATCTCTGTCTTTAAGAGCAATATGCAGTGAGTGTGAATAGTGAGAAACTCACAGTACTGAAGAAATTAGGGCAAAATATGAAAAGCTGTTACTAGAAACAACTCAGTGATCACAATGACACATGCTTCAGGTTAAATTGTATGAAAATTTTTTTGGATTAATTTAGAAATTTTATCAAAATGGTTTGTTTTTAAATAGAATGATGAATGAAACTACTTTCCGTTTGTTTTTCCTGTTGCAGCTTGAATCTACAGCCCTGCACTGGGCATGCCGGGGTGGGAACCTTGATGTTCTGAAATTCTTACTGGACAAAGGGATAAACAGAAATGCAAGAGACAAGGTACGTGCTTCTGGAGCCCTGCAGCTGTTTAAACTGGAGATGAAAGGCTGACCCTCACTCCAAGTAGATAATTTTTGGCAGCTGTTCTTGAAGCAGTCTTTACCTGTTCCATGCCACTGACTGTTTCCTCCTCCCACCCCTCAGCTGCTCAGCACCCCTTTGCACGTGGCTGTGCGAACGGGTCAGTACGACTGTGGGGAGCACCTCATTGCCTGTGAAGCAGATCTCAATGCCAGAGACAGAGTAAGTAACAACAGCTCCTCACCTGTCAACTATCAGGTAGCACCAAGCTGCTGTCTGCCTCAGCAATTCCGCCTGCCTGTAAAAGTCCCCGGCTACACGGCTGGGGCTGGGTCCCGGTGCTGGACCGGTGGGACTGATGCTGTGGTGTCTCGTGCCTCTAGGAAGGAGACACACCGATGCACGACGCTGTGAGACTGAACCGCTACAAAATGATCAGGCTCCTGATCCTGTATGGAGCGGATCTAACTATAAAGAACTGCGTAAGTAATAGCAAAAAAATGTGGTAATTCAAACCACTTCAGAAAAAGTTTCCCTTCAGAGCAGTTTCATAGGTTTCAAGGCCAAGAGAGACTATTGTGAACAGACTTAATTAGATCATTTTGGAGTTAATTAAAGCAGAGCTGATACAGGGAAAATATAATTGGGGGAGGTAAGGGAGAAGAGAAAAAAACAGTACCTCTTCTAAAACCAGCACCCCTCAACTGCAACTTAAAACAACATCACATCTTTCTATGATTTAATTAAACATATCATATATTGAAAAGATTTAACATACAGACACTTGCTCTCTGCACAACTCCCGGGCTTCAGCCACCACTGAGACCACAAATAGCTTGTCAGAGAACTCCCCTTTCTCATAAGTCCACAGCTGATGGCAAGCCCAAGCACTACATCTAGATGACTCGCTGTTAACCTGACTGTTGGGCAACAAATTCCTGTGGTTCAGCAGAGATTCAATTTAAGAATCCCCACACCTCACTTTCTGCTCATAGCCACCACAGCAACAGCAGATGTGTTGCGGGAGCTCTATGGCCACTCGTTAAAACACAGTACATCATCGATCCTTTCCCCCAAACCAAGCAACAGTGGGATGGACAATGACTTTTACTAATGCCAATCAATGTTTTTGACTGGTAATCAGTCAAAAATTAAGAGGGCAAATCATGAGAGAGAGTCTTTGGCCTTTGGGGCTGTACATTTCATCATTTTCATACCCTGATGAGGGATAATGCTGGGAGTGGCCCTGTTTCAGAGAGTGAGGCCAAAGACACTCTCTCAGGCTTTGTCTGCGCACAAAAGTTGCTCCTGTTTATTTTAGATGTGGTTCATAACCTAACTAAACCAGTATGAACTCTTATCTGAATACTCAATTAAACAGAAGAGTGTCTTACTGAGGTTTCATCTAAATGCATTTCTAATCAGTTTAAACTAAATCAAAATGAACACCTGCAAGCTCTGCCAGTCATGGTATTTGCTAATATGACTTAGACCCACTGAAACCCAGGGAGATTTCATCATGAGTCTGACCAGGACCAGAACTACATTTGTAGGGCAAAAGGACTCTGATCTTAGGGAGGCGACAGTAAGCCTGGCCTTGTGCGTGCAGAAGGGTCTTACAAAGGGCAGATGCACTGTACAAATATTTAGGGAAGAATGAAGGACTCTGTAATCGCTGGTTGAAATGAAATCTTACTTTCTCTGCTTTTTTAACCAGCAAGGGAAAACCCCTATGGACCTTGTTCTTCAGTGGCAGAACGGCACCAAAGAGATATTCAACAGCCTGAAAGACAATTCCTATAAGAGTGTCCATCTAAGCAAGTTCTGAAGAGAGAAACCAGATCGGTCTCTTTTTGCTGCTTTTATAGGCTTCATATGAACCTGAAGGAAAATAGTCCTGAACACAGTATTTTAACTGAAAATATTTATGATACTGGATTGAGACACCTTCACTGAAAACTGCAAAACAAACATGCAAAGAAATTATTTTAAAAGGCAGGTTGAGGCTTAAAATTCCACTGGTTCTAATATTGCTTTATTTATTACTATTTATTATTTATTTATTTAAAAAGTAATTTTTAATGATTCTTAATATTATTGTAGCTTTTTTTTTTTTAGAGAGCTTTACATTCTAATGCAATCTTTGCCAGAATCATAAATCCTGTTGTCTTAGATGGCAGTTTTTCCAACTACATTAGCAACTTCCCTCAAGCCTTCCAATAGTGCTAAAAAGTGAATACTTGAAACTGTTGCCTTGTCTTTGCCAAATTCTATTAAAATAATGCATTAAATAAGTGGTGATATGTGGAAGAGCAATGGAAGAAAGTACATTGAGATGCCAAGTGGATTTAAAGGAGTTGAGTAATGGGGTTTACAAAGGGTTTGGCAATCGTGGTTGACAAAGAACTCATGGACAGAGCTCCAACCATCACGTAACGGTTTGGACTGTGGGATTCAGATGCAATGTAATGAAGGTGAGAGGAGGCAGTATCCGGAATGTGTATTTTTTTTAAGCTAGACTACTGCAAGGTCTGATGATTGAAGAATGCAAAACCAGATTATGTATATTTGTAAATTTGTACTGATTTTTCTGTACATTTTGTACTGATCTATTTCAGATTAAATAAACAGAGTGGTTCTTTTTATTTGCTGTAGTAGATTATGAAGCGGTGAACATGCACAGGGTAATTCTGTCTCTCTTTAATGAAAATTCACATCTTGCATCTGTAAAATTCTTAAAAACTCAAAAAAAGGGTCAGCTGCCTAGAGCAGCCAGCCCTTGAACTACCTCCCTGCCACTGTTAGATACATGCCAACTCTTACTTACTTTGTTAAATGGAAACACATACACAAAAGCAGAAAGACAGTACTTGAATAGCTAATAAAACAAAGTTATGATTTTATCACTGAGTTTTATTTAAAATCTCAGTTTCTCAGCAAGTCACTACTTACTATTTAGAGAACCTGAGACAGCTCCAGTTAGCCAAGCCAAGGGGGAGGTCAAGTCCTGCTAGGAAAGGCAGGCACCTCTCCCTTTGCTTCAGCAGAAGCAGAACAATCTCAACAGTGCCTCCAGCAGGGGCATCACTGTCCAATTTCACTGGGACATTACACACTGCATTCAGTTAAAATCCTAATTTCACAGCACAGCCTCCCAGCCAAATATGCCACAGGCTCCCACACACCTTCACCAACACACGCCAGTGGGCTTCTAGCTAGCAGGCTTTACAGTCTGACAAATCAATGTCCTGGGCACTGAGGTGGGGTCAGGAGTGGGCAGTGATGAATAGCTGTTACTGGAGTGCCAGTTTTGGAGATGAAGTGAATTTACAGAAATGCCACAGAGGAGCAAGCCTATTCTGTCTGCAGCCAGCTATCCTAGACTGAGGTCAACAGCTTTAGACAAATGAGACTTTTCTCACACAAGCACCATAACTCGCAAGCGTCACCTTGCCAGCCATAGGCTTTATTTGTGAACACACTCTTCTCCATAAAAATTACAGCACACCTCCACTCGCTGCCCTTCTCTGCAAACCACTGCTTCACTACTCGTTTCTGCACAATTATCCAGACACTGGGAGCATGCCTTGCAGGAAACAGAAATGACATCAGTGCTGGCTAACTCTGTTTTTCATCTTAACTGAGAAGTGGTTCAATTGTTCAGGCACCAAAGTGGTCAGAACAGCATGCTTCAGGGAACTGGGGGAGAAGAAACTTTTCAATCAGTTCCTGAAGCTACTTAAAGAGCAAAGATGTAGGCTGTAAATTTTTTAAATCAAGTCAAACAAGTAGCAAGAAGGATCTCTAGGATTCAGAGGCCTCTTTCCATATACTAGTTACCAAACAATTTCTGTCATGCTCAAGGTAGGTTATTGTCTGGCCAAGGCAAGATAATGTGTCATTCGGAAAATTTGCACCAAACACATTTTGCTTCTTCTCTGGTTAGAGCATAATTTTAGAGGTAAGTCCATAAATTAGAAGCTACCGTGTATGTGTATATATATATTACATCCCAATACCTGTACTAAAACAGACTCAAATCACAAAGTCAACAAGTAAAGTAATAACATAAAGAAAAAATATTTCATTATTTGTTTGAATGAAGCAAAAGCTGTTGGGACTTACACCAGCACTGGATAGAACTGTTAGTCTACTGAGAACTTCATCTATTATGCTCAGCCCTGTTACTAAGAGCTCAGAGATGACCCACTGCAAGATTTCTGCAATATTTTACATGGTGTGACTTCCACGTCTCAACTTGTCAGACGCAAACAGAGAACTGGATTCACATTAAAGCTGGCTCGAGAGTATCTACAGTACAGTAGCTTACATAATTTTTATATTGGTTTAATCAAAAGAAAAACTTCAGTCAACACTTGGAAGAGTTCTGAAAATGCTCTACTGATCATAAATCTCTTATGACTGCTTTTTTGGCAGCCAGATTAGGTTTACTGAGGCATTAACAGAAAGGCAAAGGGAAAGGCAGGAGGCAGCAGAATGAACACTCTCATAGACAACACTGTCTTTATAAACATAAAGGAAATGATGCAGTAAAAATGATATGACACGGAGACTGCTCAGGCCTAGGTGAGACAGTTGTTACACTGCAACAGCAACATACCATGCTGAGCACCCATTCAGTATAACCCTGGGCTCTTCCTTGCCATCTGTGGTAACTATCTCATGATACTGTTTGGTTTTAAGAGCTGCAGGACAAGGATGGCCTTAGGGATGAGTGTCTGGCAGGTCAGGTCAGCCAGTCCTACTGTAACACAAATCCAAGAGAACTCCTAACAAGTGACAGATCCTGGGTTGTTCTTTATAGCCACTGATCATGAAACAGAATGAGAAGCAGATTTTTTTTTTTTTTTTACTGCACTATTCTTCAAAGGCCACTGAAGGTAAACTTCATCTACGGGCTTGAGGTTGCAAGGTTTAGCACAGAGATGTGTTTAAAACTTGAGAAACCATAACAGCTAGACTTTGAAGGCATGTGTTCTTAAAAACATTTTTAATAAAACAGGAATGTGCTTGTACAACTGAAAATTTCCGTATGTTAGAAACATTATGTTGGGTTTGCACTAACTCCAGAAGACCTAAGACAGGGTGGAGAGACAGTCTCCTGACCTTGGCCAGAAGCCCAGCATGACCTTTCAGATGTGGTGAACTACCATTTATCAGTCTCATTCCCACAGCTTTCCTCACTTGAACACCAGAAGAGTAATTTTTCTCCAGGCTAAATAAAGTAGTAAGAGAGGAACTGGGCTGGCTGAAGGGTGGGGGAAGACTCAACACTGGGTAAAGATATGATAGAGGCTCCTGTTGACAATTGGTTCAGTCCTCAAGCTTGAGTCTTAGCTTTTTTGCAGGCTGGCACTGTAGCTTCTTCTTCCTCAACCTTGCGAGGCTTCTTCACCGTGTACACTATCCCACAAGCACTCTTCCGAGTTTCTGGAATATACAAGCAGAAGCTGCAGTACCTCAAATAAAATGACACTAATGCATTTAATGCATACTCATTTCAGGTGTCCATTCCCCAAAGCACAGCTCAGCATATTTAACAGCCAGCCAGTTACTACACGCAGCAGGTAAGCAAACTGCATGGGCAGGAGCTGGGGACACACTGCATTAGGGAGTGGGGAAACCCAACGGTGGGTGTAGAATTACAGCAAACGTAAGGAAAACTAAAGTCTGCAGGGGTTGAGGGGCTGCAGACACACAAAACCACAGGAAACCAGACTTAATCTGTTCAGTAGGTACAGAAGGCCACATTCTTGAAGCATTGTCAAAAGCATTTCTGAGCAAAAGATATTGTTATTAAATATATAAAAAAAATGTATTCACATACCCCAGGATTCTTAAACAGACTATGCTGGCACAGCTATGTTGGCAGAGTCTCCCCTAAACATACCAAGTAAGTGGCTTTATGGTATTCAAGAATATTTTATTTACAGAACCTTCAGCATTACCATGAAATATTTCTGCGTGATGTTATCAAATTCCTCACATGTTTGCCAAACAACCTAGTGAGCCCAATCCAATCTCATAACTACTGGTGGGAGGCTTCTCTGTAAAATTTGAGTTAGATGAGATTCCATACAAATACTCTGTTAGCAAAGAGGCTCTGCAAGAACCTTGCCAAAATATATTCACTTATTCTGGGATAGAATTTGTGGGACAGGGAAATGACATCTGCTATTTAATTTCATGGATAAGATAGATGACAGTCTTGAGAAATTCCACATAAACTTGACAAAAATTCTTCCAACACACTGTCTCTGTGTAGATAAGTAGCAGGCTGAAGGAGGACCCTGTTCACAGAAATGCCCTCTCCAAGAGATCAAAGCTACCTGCTGTGAATTACAGCAGGTTCAAGACTCACCTCTGCTGAACCAACAAATGTAAATGAAATTCTACTGTGTATATTAAACTTAGAGCAACTCAAGTTATCAGGAAGGTGACTAGAAATCATACCTTGACAGAAGCAGAAACTAAGAGCTAGATGCGACTACTCAGTCAAAGTCAAACTGCCATCAGAATAAACAACAAAAATCAAGAAACACTAAGAACCAATAAATAAACATGTGAAAGGGAGAGTAGAGACCGACAAATTGGTGCTGTAGTAGAAAGCAATGGTCTATACTGATCGCTGGAACACAGACTGTGGCATCTCCTTGCTGCGATGACACCAGGACACAAAATACAACTGGAAACCTTTCGATATCCAGTGCAGGGGGCTACAAAATAAATTTCCACTTTCTTAATATTAAAAATGGGCAACCAGAAGACAGCTAGTGTGAGCTGCCTCTGCTGAGAGTATAAGGAAGCAAGTTTTGT